CTTATTATTGTATAAAAGCCCTACCATTTCTACAAATAATCAACAAAGTCAATAAAAAAACTCTTGTATAATAACATTATCTTCAATAAAATGATAATCTAATTTAAAATTGTTTCGATATATAATTACTGCACATGCTCTAAATAATTTTGACTCTCATGACAAAATCTTAACCAGCGCATATTGTGTAAATATAGATTACACTATATATACTTTGAAACTTGCCTGCGTAATATGATAAGAAAAGTCTGTAGTTTTGTAACACTTTCAGAAAAGACAAGCTCAGTTAGAATCAAAAAATCTTAATTTTTTTTTTTTTTTTTTTTTTTTTGAAGTATATAGAAAAGGGGTAAGTAAGCTTCCATTCATAATTTTATTTTTAACACTAAAACACTCCCGTTAAAAGGAGATACTGCAAAGACACTGTTAAAACACGAACCTGGAACAAAAATTGATTTTGGTTTTCTCATATTCCACAAAATCAACTACAAATTCCCTGTATGAACCAGTAAACGTATTGACAATAGCTGGCCAAAACATGGAAGACTTCCATTTAGGGACTACTAAAGTTCCCTCTGCCCCACATTTAATCATATGTTTGAATGACCTTGTTTACTAAGTGGACAGGAGGTACTAACCAATTGTTCTTTCCTGACCAATCAAACGCAAATGCATCTACTCCTGATGTCCCAGGGCACCAAAACTGAGAATTAAATATTTCAACATGTTTGTTTCTATTGTCAGCAAATCTGTCAATATGAAACGGACCCCACACATTATTAAATATTGAAACACTAAGGGTGAAACTGCCCAATCATCAAAGTCCAAAATCTTACTGTAAGCGTCAGCTTCTACATTCATATCTCTTGGAACCCAAGATGATTCCAAGAGTATTTTGTGTTGTACACAGAAGTCAAATATTCTTTTTGCAATAGCCTGCAAAATAACTTTTGTGCTTCCACGACTGCAAATTCTAACTATATTCTGATTATCAGTATAAACCTTAACAAATTTACCACTCAAATGTTTCTCAAAGGAAAAGGACTGTAATGCGAACTCTAAGGAACGTAACTCTCAATATGTTGAACTCTGTTTAACCTCTATTTCAGTAAATGAGACTCTAGAAACTTTTTTAATTGAGCTTAATAAAACTCCCGCCGCCGCCTGATTGCTGGCGTCGACGAACAAAATTCTCTCTGGCATTCTAACCGAGAGACACTAACGACCTAAAGGGAAGTAACTCTAAAATTCTTAGACCAAAAATGTAACTCTGCCAAGGACGGGGAATCTAGCGAAACAATTGCATCCCAAGAAACGCTGTTACTTATTGGGAACATGAAGATTTCGTGTCATAATGTGACATACATTCCCAAAAACAAAATGACATTGATATTATTGTTCCTACTATTTTTGCCAATGAACGTGCTGTACATTTCCCTTGATTCTGCATACAACTTAAAATCATGTGCTTAAGCTTTTCAATTTTTCTAATTGGAATTTCTACAAGACCTTTAGATAAATCCCACAAACTTCCCAACCATTCTAGGACGGAACAAGGTTCCCATTTACTTTTTTCTTCATTAGCTATTAAACCTGCTCTAATTAAATCCTCCCTAACCTGTGAACTTACTTTATAGCATAATTCTGGGCTGTCTGTACCCCAACCGTTCATCCAGATATACAATAATCTTAATCCCCATTCCTCTCCAGTATTTAACTAATGGCCTTAAAAGTTTTAGTAAAAAACCATGGAGCTATAGATATTCCAAAAGGGAGAACTGTAAAAACCAAAATATTTATGAACACCGTTCTCTACCCAAGAAAAATCCTAAGTAAGTTTGATATTCTTTATTTTATGGATACGTGATGATAGCCAGATTTTAAATCAAACTTAAACATTAGATTACCCTTTTGACAAAAATCTAAAAGCTTCTTTCTGACCTTCAAACTCGACTTTCCCTTTTTAACACGTGCTTATTAATATGACGTAAATCTAAAATAAGCCTCTCTTTACCATTTGAGTTTACTGAAACAGTCAACGGATTACACCAAAAAGGTTTACTTTTAACTTCAATAACGCATTGCTTTTCTAAAAAAGTTCAGAAATAGCTGACGAAGCGAATTATGATGTTTCACAGAAGAAAGATTGTTTCTTAAGTAAATAGAACTAGGCAGTGTCTCAAACGGAATCTTAAATCCGTTTCTTATAACATCTTCTATAAATGTATTAACTTTGAGATTTTTTACCCAAAAATCAATGTGTCTATTGATACTGTCTTTGACTGAAATTACATTTTTTGTATATCATTTTTTCTCGAATTTTTTTGGAAACATATGAATTAAAATACTTAACTCTACTTTCCGTTACTGGGCGTCTGGTTTTTCTGTTGTGACGGAGGGTTGCAGCTTACTAGCCATGAATCTCTGGGTGTACGGGCAGTCTCTGGCAAAGTGTCCGGGCAGATTGCAGGAGAAGCAATGACCTGTAAATCCCTGATTTCTTTGCACGTTTCCCGGGATATTTGTTTGGAAATAGCTTCTCAAATCTTGGTGAATACCCACGAAAGGGCGCCCGTTGTTTGAAAAAGTGGCCTTGGCTGGGACTGAGCACGTGGTGGTGGAAAAGTCTGACTACTTCCATATGGACTATATCTGCGTGACCTATTTGCCCTTGCAATAGCGCCTCGTAGCTTAGAAGCATCGTCATCATTATCAGCAAGCGGGTCAGCGTCATATTCCTGACGGTATCCCAGCCATGTTTGTCGGCAATTTTTAACAGCTTGTTTCGTTTACGAATCTCCAAGGCTTCGTTTTGAGCAATATCTTTGATGGCAGAAACATTTTTGAAGTCACACAAAGCCTCTATTCTATTCAAATTGTTCAGACGTTCAGAGTTGAAATTAAACTGTCTTTTACAAGAATCTGTTTTGAAATCAAAAGTACCTGCGTTAGCCGGTTTATTGCCGCCGAAATTCCCAAATCTGAATTCTAGCTCGTCTAAGATTAAGCCTCTCTGTTTATCCAAAGCCTGTTCTATTTGAGACGAAATGTCGTTTCTCACTGGAGTCGAAGGCGTTCCATTTTCCTCGTTTATGATGTCCCCTCTGGGAAGTGAATCCTCTTCCTCGCTCATCGAGTTATTGCAATACAATTTGGTGAACCTTGCGAACTGTGTAGTAAACCTCGAATAAACCCACTTCTATTGAACATTATCTGAGTTTTCTTATTTCTTGGTTTGTATTATATGGTTTAGGAAAGAAATAATTTATTTTCGGACGAACGAAGTGAGGGAGAAAATAACACATGTTACCCGCGACAGAATACATGTACTTATAAATGCAACAGTTCGCTGTTGTGGATAAGCGTCCAGTTAGTTCTAACAAATATTTTTAAAATTTCCACAGTCAGCAAAACTCAGTATTTTCATCTCTTCAAAAGCATTGTAACATTCTTAATATTATTGTTTAATATGTATTCGCCAAGTCATTTCACAATGTCAACATTGCCTGTTACAAAGATATATGCATTTGTTTAAATTGAGACTTGAACTATTTTCACTTTTTTTTCCAGCGATCTTTAGCCCCTTTTAATTACCTCCTTTCCATTAGAATCATTAATTAAAGCTAGTGATTGAAACCTTAAGTCAATTATCTGTCATGTAGATTTGAATGATTTAAGGCGGACACTATATAATGGTTTTCTATTCGATCCTTGATTTTCGTGTTAAAACGCTGCTGCTCCTGATTTTCGCACATCCTCTCACATCTCATTGAATATTGTGATGAGCTGTTGTTATAAGAGAGCTTATTACATTTACATAATGTTGATATATTTGTACAAGTTTTTCACTGCTTTGGGGAGTCTTTTCTTGTTTTTTTTTTATGTCCAAATTGCATGGGCTACCCTATTTATAATTAGTATGAATAAGTCGAGACCAGCCCCTTTTACCATATACATTTGTATTTTATATGTATAGTAGCCTTCGCGCTTTTGGTCTTTTTCAGCGGCATTTATTATACATAAAAATAATATTCAGAAAAGAAAGGGAAGTGACGAAACGTTGAGTGACGCCTACCGTGGCGTTGTGTATCGTCGATTTACACGTGATCTGATTGCGTACCTTGTACGAGGACACGTTTAAACCAATAAGCGTGTCTGTATCAATGGCATTTGGACAAATCGCACACTTTTAATAGATCCGCCAGGAATTCGGCTGTCAAAGGAACTTGTGTTATGACCTGTAAATTATTTTCTTATATAAATGCCGTAAAAGGATTTTGAAATGTTTCTTGCATTCTGTCTTGAAGTATATAATTCTGGTAGGTGCGTGCGTACTATTTGTCATATACAGTCATATATTCGGGAGTGCCCGGGGAAGCGTCAGTACCAAGGAGACTCTTTCAGTTTCTGCTTTATGTCCATTACATATATAGTATATATACATGTATATATTATATTTTATCATGCTTGTAAATAACACCAAAAATATATTACATTAATACACCAGATCCACTACCATTAAAACAATGTATAAAACAGAAAATAATTATCCGGAATAATATGAGGTTATTAAATAAGATTGTCATTATATGTTTTCATTATGGTAACTTATGACAATTTGTTAAAGGTCATTTGTTAGGTTGGATTCATTTCTAGATTTGTCTTTGCATCTTTCAATACGTTTTTATTTGTCATTTTATCCGGTCAAACTACTCTCTGCTGTCATTTCAACTAAATATGTTCGATTTCTTTTGCCGTTACTCCTCAAGTTAAATGTAATTCGAGGAATGAAGTGTCTTACCGAATTTGGGGGAGAGGGTGAAGTGTCTGCAAAATCTGGGGGTAAAGTTTTTGGAGGTGACTTGTCCTGTTAACTTCACAAGCTAAAATACCAATAAAATTTATTTTGTAATATTTCAGACGACTTAGTCTACAGAGATTTAGTAGCCTTTTGCCTATAAAGGTGGATAGTGTTGTCTCCCTTACTTCCAATGCGCATGCTCAGGTAAACAGTCGCCATATTGGAAAGAAATTTTGCCAAAGCAGACGAGATGTAATTTTTTATTGCAGATTTGGCAATATCCAGCCAAATGTCGTCGGCATTGGCCAAGTTTAGAAAATCTAATAAGGATGGTGACATCAAGAAAGCCGCGCAAAAGGTGTCAGATCCAAAGAAGGATACGCTAACTCGGCTAAAACATTTGCGGACAGTTCTGGGTTGGTCTTATCAAGTTTATGTCTTTGGCCTTGGAACTTGCAAAACAGTTTTCTCAAAGTTGCTATAACTTAATTATTGCTTACAATTAGAGCGTTAGTGTTCATGGCGTATCATGAATTGCAGTTTTTCTTTCATACCATTCTCATAATTGATAAACTGAATAAAAGAAAAATGTTTTAAGCACTAAGGTCCTCCACAGAATTATGAATTATTTAATACATCTCCATGTTAATGCTTGACAATCAATTCTGATTATGACTAGCAGCAATACGAGACCCTAAAGTTGGAATACTTTTTAGAAACCAAATAAAAGTAATCCGGATCAATTTGCCCCTATATTAAACATTTAACAAACTCGGCCCCTGAGTCATCGAATCCGGGTCGGCTCGGCCCTATATCATACTCGGCCCCCGAGTCAGCTCGGCCCTATTCCAACTCGGCCCACTTTTTAATTATTAATATTTAGGTTTGTGTTATCACTTTTTATTGTTATCATTGTAATTATTTATAAAACACAGATTGACAGTTTCAGAACTAGCAGCAGACAGGCTTTTCTTATCAGTAGAATTGCGAGTAAAGATATCCGATTGCGTATCTCACTGTATTTCTGACTCGTGGTAGGTTTAACCGTAAATTTAAATACCTTTTGTGGACAGTGTCAAACAATGTGTTGAAATATATACTGAGAGGAAGCTACTTAAGATCACCAGCTTTTAATTGGTGTAACAAATTTTAAAATCGGACATTTAATCGCCCCAAACTAGAGATTTAAACACGGCTAAATGCAAGCGAAGGGAAACTAAGGGAAACAAGTCTTGCTTTTTCACTCAATATACCTCGGTTATTTACGTAGTTCGACAGAGAGAGTTTATAGATATAAGACAAATAAATAACTTTTTTTTCTAAATATACTTTATTTCGGCAGAAGTACATATAATATAATATAATAATAAGATATTTCTTATTATTCATTTACCTTTACAACATGCAAAGCAAATAAAACGTTATATATATTTTTGTAAAGTGGGCCGAGTTGGGCCTAAAAAAAAAAATTGTTTTGTTCGGGTCACCCGACCCTACCTAATAATATGCGCCGACCCTACCGTTTTTTTTCGTGTCCAAAAAAAAAAAAAAAAAAAAAATCCATGAAAATACCGTATTATTGAGGTACCCAATGAGCAGGGTGAAGGGCAATTCAGGCGAAAATTTCGCTGGGTATATTTCCATTTCGCTCTCCCAATTGATCAAAGAGAAGTCAACATCGCCGATAAAATCTTAATTCCCAAAGAGTAATTACTTGCCGATGTAAAGAGCAGAGATTGTATCCGCCCATATGACGACTGCTAATTATCATTATCCAATCAGAGCATCGCTATATACTACCCTTCTACCTGTATGCAAAGCAATAGACCGCCTACTCTAAACAGTAAATAATGAGAGCATCGGCCCGAAACGGGTATATTTTGCGAGTTTAATACGGGATTTGGCGATAATTATAGATTATTTTTTTCCGATCATCTAAACACGTGCAAATCTTCCCTAATTGATATACACGCGGTGTTTAACCGAAGTAAAGGCGATGTGCGGCTATCACAAAACTGTTAGTCAATTAAAAATAATTAATTTCATTTGGATGATTTCAGTCCGTTAACATCAATTAAAAATTGTTATGTCGCTCACGTCATGGCTTGGGGTGAAATGCCCAAACCTAGCAGTAAAAAAAAGTTACTGATTCTGATACACCATACACGCTAAAATTTAAGAAAGCCAATTCACAAAAATCTTATGATTGGTATGTTGTAGACAGTGAGAGTGTTTTGCATTGTTATCTTTGTAGAAATGCCAAATTTGACACAGCTTGTACGCACGTGGGCACGACATCCTAAAACTACGAATCATGATCGGCATGCGACATATTGGTCGTATATCATGTGCTCATGTATGTAACAACAAAATTGTCAGGAAAGAAGTGTTCTTATTGTTTCAATATATATATTTGTTTTAATGTCATAAATATGACGCTCAGATTAAGATTTATTAATACTGTAAATTTCAAAAAAGCATTATTTATAAAGATATTACCGAGTTTAACATTTCATGAAAATAAAGGGAGGTAATTAGAAATTTATTTTCTATAATTTCTCAGTCGAATTTTTCAATAAGAAATGAATGTATATAATTTTAGTGATCAAATATAATGTGCACAAATGTTTGCAGTACATATTTTACATATTCTTCGATATTTGAAAATTGTTTTATAAGCATAATTATATGCAAATAAATGTGACATTACATTACATAGAAGATCAAACAAAATTACAAAATTTAAAACAAACTCTGCTAATTACAAACATGTAATTAATTATATGCATCCCAATGTATACGGTTTATAACATTTAAATAGAAACCAACATAATTAAAAGTCAGCCCACAATGAATTGGTCAGAAAACGTTCCTGACATGCCTTCTTCGCAAGTATGCGAACTCTACAATTATAGGTAATATTTTTAAATTTTTTAGTTATACTAAATATTAGATAGACCTGTTATAAAAGACGGTAACTTCTATAAACGTCTTGGCCAATTTTAAAATAAGTGCTTTTTAATAATTTAATTTTAGAAGTCTTAATCTTAGTATGGGATTGCCCCATCTTCCTCCCATGGCAGAGGTTGTACGTAGTGACTACCCTGCCATGGGGGATATGGTATGCACATAAACACATGTACGGATATAACAATAAGTAATTAAACATCAGCTCCCCCTTTTTAAAAAGGTTATAAATGAAGTATATGCTCGCCCATATGGTCTCTTTCCGGTGGCGAGGGTAAACAAACCCAAACACACACACACACATAGAAGATCATAAAAAAAAATTTCTGTAAACAGAACAGGATAAACAGAATTTATTAATCATTATCCAATGTAACTTAGTCTTCTGTGAAAAGTGAGGAAAGTAAAAATATAGTTAATTTATTCATCATGGTTTTCTTACACATTATTATCAAAAATATATGAGAAAGCTTATAAATAGCTGATAAATAGATTGTGTTTCTATTCTAGTTAAAGGATATATAGCCATGCATGTTAATGCATACACATTGGGATGTTTCCCTTCTGGCGATTTTTCACGAGGAAGTCACTTCTCCCTAAAATTTCCCCCCAGGATGAGCCCTGGGTACGGTACAGGTTTTATCGCCGCTCTTAGTTACAAAATGGGGGATCACATCGTCATTATATTTGTAAAACGGCGTGTGATCCTCACCAGAAGAACGCTGAGAGTTTAAGATTGTTACACCTGAAATGTCTTTTGAAAACATAGAAGGGATGTATTTGTGCCACCCGGGAGGGATGTCAGAAATTTCCATATCTAAATTTCAATATACTAGTAAAAAAAAAAAAAAAAAAAAAAAAAAAAAAAAAAAAAAAAATCCGACCTACCCTACCTATTCCTTGAGAGCATGTTACCCTAACAAAACAATTTTTTTTTTTAGGCCTTAACCCGTGCCGAGTTGGTATAGGGCCAAGTTGACTCTTTTCCAAGTCATCTCTGCACTCTACCAACTGGGCATCATCCACGAGTCAACTCAGCCCATAATTATATATAAATTATAACTAGTTTTAGCAATTAACATTATATATTTTTATGCCCCCGCCATGTAATGGCCGGGGCATATAGTGTTACCCTGTTCCGTCCTTCCGTCCTTCCGTCATTCCGTCCTTCCGTCATTCCGTCCTTCCGTCATTCTGTCATTCCGTCATCATCAGTTTCCGTTCATTATCTTACTAACGGTTGCACACATTCAACTCAAATTTGACATATGGATATGTCATGAGAAAATACAGGTCAAGTTCAAATTTGGTCATGGTTCGATGATTTTTGGCAGAGTTATGCCCCTTTTACTTTGAAAATAATATGAAATTTTCAGTTTCCGTTCATTATCTCCCCAAAGGTACAACACATTCAACTCAAATTTGACATATGGATATGTCTTGAGAAAATACAGGTCAAGTTCGAATTTGGTCATGGTTCGATGATTTTTGGCAGAGTTATGCCCCTTTTACTTTGAAAATAATATGAAATTTTCAGTTTCCGTTCATTATCTCCCCAAAGGTACAACACATTCAACTCAAATTTGACATATGGATATGTCTTGAGAAAATACAGGTCAAGTTCGAATTTGGTCATGGTTCGATGATTTTTGGCAGAGTTATGCCCCTTTTACTTTGAAAATAATATGAAATTTTCAGTTTCCGTTCATTATCTCCCCAAAGGTACAACACATTCAACTCAAATTTGACATATGGATATGTCTTGAGAAAATACAGGTCAAGTTCGAATTTGGTCATGGTTCGATGATTTTTGGCAGAGTTATGCCCCTTTCACTTTGAAAATAATATGAAATTTTCAGTTTCCATTCATTATCTCCCCAACAGTACGACACATTCAACTCAAATTAGACATATGGATATGTTTTTGGAATGCCCAGGCCAAGTTCGAATTTGGTCATGGTTCAATGATTTTTAGCAGAGTAATGCCCCTTTTACTTTGAAAATAATATGCAATTTACATTATCTACCCAACAGTGTTACATATTCAACTCAAATTTGGCATATGGATATGTCAAAGGAATGGGCAGGTCAAGTTGGAATTTGGTCATGGTTTGATGATTTTTTGGCAGAGTTATGTCCCTTTCACTTTGAAAATAATATAGATACATCTTAGGAATAAGCAGTTTAAGTTTGAATTTGGTCGTGGTTCAATGATTTTGGACAAACTTATCTTTCTTGAATGTTGGAAAAATTTTGAACTTTCAGTTTCAGCACTCATACTTTTGTGGAAATGTATGTAGCCATTGTTTTGGCTAAAAATATGAAATATGCTATTTTCAAAAGGTTAAGACTAAATAATTTCAGTGCTTTGAACATTGTATGAAAATGGTTTGTGTTAACATTGAAAAGTTTTAAGGGCTTTGAACTGCAAATGAAAAAAATAATTTGTGCAAACAAATTTGGAACTAAATATTATAACATCTGAAATTTTGGCTGCATGCGGGGGCATCCGTGGCATGATGACACATTTCTAGTTTTATCATATCTTCCATTGTTAAATCTTATTGGGACAAAAATAACTTTTTTGTGATAATTATTTTTTTGTCCCAGATCTAATTTGATTAACAATATGTCATGTTCTCTTCTGGCAATCTGCCCTGTTTTAGTTTCATATCGAATCAAAAGACTAATGACTGTCATCCAGTGACCCTGTAGACAGTCCACAGTTACCACCTTTTATTTATGATAGACATGGGTCTTTATTGTAGATTATAGGTCATAATTGACTTCCTAATGGGATTAAGAAGTAAATAAACATGTACTTTATGATAGGGATTAAACGATGATCGAGTATAATCGAAAATTGATCGTTTATAGAACCGATCAGCGATGATCGATTACAAAGTTTAATAATCGATTATCGGTAATTTATTTTCTTGCTATTACTTAAGTGACTCACTTAATTATAACAACATTAAATTAAAGCCAGTTTTGGTTGAAACAATAATTTTCATTCAATTGCATATGAAAGTATACTGGTGACCATGGAGTTAATAATTGGCAGTAAGGCATGCTAGTTTAAAGGTATACTATGCTCAAATTTGACATTAGAAAATATTTAAAATTGCTACACAGTCTATTTGTAAATATAAAATAAATATGTTTTGACTTCACACAAAGAAGATATGTTATGTATAAAATTATTCTACACACTAAAGGTGGTTGCAATATCAATATATAGTGTCATTAAAAAAAAAACTGGCAGTTTCATTAAGAAAGGACCAACGTAACTTGTTCCCATACAAAGTTTATTCATTGCTTTTTGGAAGTGAGACATAATTACTTCATAGATTTTAATGAATTTATTTGATAAAACTATTTTACTCAAGGATGAGCATAGTATATTTTTAAACTAATTTATTTCAGTGGATAAAGTGGTGGTTACATGGAAATGGAATTCTTATAAATATTAAAGCATGATATGAACATTGTACATATTTACTTTGTTATTGTAAATGTTTCGATTATATAATCTATGATTGATCGAAAAGGGTGGTTCGATTATTTTCGATGATCGATTATGAGTTTTGTCCGATTATGAAACCCTACTTTTTGATGTAAATGTTTTGTTCAAACTTAATATTTAACGTGTAATATTTAATTTATCCAATTATAGACATACATTTTTTTCTTCCTTAGGTATTGGTACTTTGCAATTGAATTAAAAGTGTTTAATATATAAATTACATTCATTGTCATAAAATTCAATTTAAAAACTTTATGGATCAATTACAGATAATTTTAAACAATATGCTGCCAACTTTATCAATTTCCATTTGTTTAATAGTGGTCGTACCTCTGAATTACTTTTATAGTAATTTACTTCTAAAAAAAGTTTATTTACTAGACAATCTATATGCTGAAAGGTTTTTAATGTAGGGCCGAGTTGACCTTTACCGAATAAAAGCATAAGTAACATGAAACGCATGTAAGCTTACATTTATCTATAAAATTATTTTTCTGAACATGTACTTTTAAACAACCTTACTTGTTGACCTGATTCTTTCTACTTTGTTTACAATTAAATTAAAACAGATACCAACAATGAAGGATGGTATTCAGTGTCTTTGAATAAATGACTCCCCTAACAAAATCCAACCACACAGTTTAAATTATTTCTTGATTGTATTCTTCTTTATTGTAATGATCAATCAATATAACTTTTTTTTTTTCTTTTCAGAAAATTATGAAACAGCTGAGGCAAAGAAGTTTTTTGAGGAAAATTATTCACATATATACTATATCTTCTTTGACAACTTTGTAATAGTAGAGGCAGATCTTAAACAAAGAGGTAATTATGCGTTCATTCAATCTGAATTTTATTTTTATGCCCCTTGCTCATACAACCATTAGTTTTAAATTGTTGTCTCGTGTTTAATATGGACATGTTTTGGGAGGTTCTATTCCTTCGGATTTAGTGAGGGGTAATTTGGGTCAAGGTTAAGATCAAGGACACCAGTGCCAGAATAGATTTTTACACTTTCACAGGTGACCTTACAGGTGATAGGTGTAACCTTTATCTATTGACAGATGTCTTTTATAGTTGGTAGGAACTTAACTTAAGAAGTTTTCTACCATTGGATGGTGTTAGGGGTCAGTTGTGTCGAGGTCAGTAGTGCTCAAAATACATTTTTACACTTTTGCTCATGCACCCTTTATTTATTGACAGACAACATCTTTCTTATTCAGTAGGATGGCCTTTTTCCTTTGGATTGGGTTAGGGATCAGTTGGACAAGGTCAAGGGTGCCAATAATAGATTTCTACAAACTCACTTATATTCAGTCTTTAATTATTGACTGATGTTTTTCATATTTGGTAGGAAGATAATTTGCATGGTCTTCATCATTTGGATTGAGTTAGGGGTCAGTGGGTCAAGGGTGCCAAAAATATATTTCTACATGTTTGCTTATACAACCTTTATTTATTGACCAATGTTTTTCATATTTGGAAGGAACATACCTTGGATGTCGTAAATCACAAGGTCAAGTTCACCTGTGCTAACAATAGATTTTTTACACTTATTCTGATACAGCCTTTATTATTATCATTATTTTTCAACTTCATCAAATAGCAATGACATGCCAACTTATGTTCTTCACAATAACAAAAGGAAATGACTCTGTCAAGTTATATTACTGTGTTATCGAAAATGTGTTACAGACAAGAAACTGGCATAGGGGCATTTGTGTTTACCAAACATGTTCTTATTTAAATTTATAATTCATTACAAACTGTAAAACTAAAAGGATTAAAAAAAAAACTTATCATCATTAATCATTTATAAAGCTGTAATTTTTCTTTCAGCAAACAAGTCTCATAGGGAAGAGCTAGACAATATCTTAAATATATTCGAGGTAACTTTTCTTTATGCATTTACATGCATTAGTAAGAGAAATGCTTAATTGATAATCAAATTTATAACTTTTGATATATTTGTCTTACAGATATAAAACTGCTAAGTTCCACTAGTTTCTTTATCAAAAAAATAATCTAGAAATTTAGAATCAAACACAAATGGCTAAAACTTGATATTTATATTGACAGAAAAGTTTGATAAATTTAAAGAGGGCAAACCAGTTTTTTCCAATAATGAATTACTTGTATGAGGGTTCGGGAAGTTCTGAGAATTGTTTTATAGAAAACGTTGTAGTCGCTTAGCATAAATATAAATATATACGCATTTATTTCAATATATACTGTATAGTATCTGAAAATATCATCATCATACACACAGAAACTAAAACATAATAAAAATAGTAAATAACCATATAACAAACACCCGGAGCACGCCAAAGTCGTTGGAACATTATGCGACGTTAAAGTCCATCGATCGTTGCACCTTTTCAACGAAGTCACCTGCAATTTCGATGCATTTGCTGTGTCGGCTGATCCACTTATTGTATGTTTCCACGTACCAGCTATCAGTAAAGGACGAGACTATAGCTTGCGTATGCTTAACAAGATCGTCAGCTGAGTCAAAGCGTTTTCCATGCAGCTGTGATTTGAGCTCCGGGAACACACGGAAGTCCATTGGAGCGATGTCCGGGCTGTTTGGAGGGTGTTCTAAGATCTCAAACCCCAACTGTAGCCAGACTGCATTTCTTGTATTTTTCTGTAGAATTGATCATTTTCATTGTTTCTGTGGAAGACTTTTCCAGCGCAACACAAAATTTCACGATGCTTTGCAATTCAACGTCACCTATCGACATCATGTTGTTTACTCAGTGGCTCTGGGCAACAACTTTAAAACAATGTTGATCCGTTGAGAATTTAAATAACGTTATGATATTTTCAGGAAATGACGTCATGACGTTCCGCTGCTGACCAGCGTTTTCGCGCATTTTTTATGTTATCAAAATTATGAAATGTTATTAGTGTAGCGCGTTATACCTTTCTTTAGAGTCGGACTGCTCCGGTGCGGCCTTATAGTGTTGCTTTGGTTACTGCTATTTCCAGCTCTTTTCTGATTCTATTCAATTTTTAGGAATAGTTCCGTGATATGCTAATCTTAGTATGTACAAAGTATTACGTCTTAGAAACAAAAAATATAGGAGATATGACTAAATTCCCAGAACTTCCCGAACAACCCTCGTATGTACATTAGTTGTTTGGATTTAAATTTGCAACATAATGTCTGAAGATGGTTTTACCTTTCAGAAAATACTACTGTTGTTGCCAGAACTAGTTCACAAAAGATGGATGTTTCACAGTATTGGGCGGATAATGAAAAAGTTATTACATCCTGGAAATGGACTAAAGGTACTAGCCTCTTGCTCTTTGTTTTGATAGCTTGTAATGTCTGTTTTGTTATTTTCACTCGAGGATTGTTTTGTCTTGTCTTATTTAAAAGTAATGACCAACTGTGGTGTTTGTCTGTAAAATATTGTTAGGTGAACAAATGAAGCAATTTATATATTGCAATCAGCATTTACAATCTAAGAAAATTAGCAAAAAGTGGGCAACATGTGCCAAAACAGCCCTAACTACATTAGTAACACAGTAGAAATATGGTGATAAAATACTGCAAAATCAGTCTTTAACTGCACATAACATGCAAAAATTAACATGGATCTTGAATGTCTTCACCTTTCTTAAAATTTTAGTACATTTTTCTCAATATTGATTTTCTTGAGAAATTTAGGCTCATCTGGAGGTGTGCAGCTTTAATGTCAGTCAGTGAATCAAGATTATTAGATTAATGAATGTAGTGGGATTCTAGTAACATATTTTCTTGTAGTTTGTAAGAAATGGTTAATTTAATTGTGGTAAATATCATTTTATACTACATGGTTTACATGTACACTGTTTCCTGTAGCTAAGAAGAGATGGAATGAGGCTGTTTTTGATCTGGTACCAAATATTACAAGATAATGCATCTGATGAGTGCCATCAGATCTTCCTACAACTGGTACCTGGCCTTGGAAAGGGAGAGCAACAAGACATACTGTATGGCAAAACAGCTAATACCCCTGACAGTAAGTTTAACCTTTTTCTATTCACAGAAACAGGCATTACAAATGATAATTTAAATTAAAAGTAAGTGTAAATCATGCCAGAAAAATAGATAGATTTGTCTATAAAACTTCTAGATAGATCTGCAATGCATGAAATTTTAAACTATATTTAAAAACAAAACAAAAGGAAGAACCTAGCCTTGGTAAAGACCAAAACATGGCTATAAAATGTTTCGTAATGTCAGTAATATATAATGTTTAACATTACGGGTATTATGATATTAAAAGTCAGTTAACTAGAATTTTCTGCATACACCCTCTTCCTGTAAGTCATTGTGAAAGCATCATGGTTCTTTTAAATGTTTATGTATATTTCTCGATTCTGTTCTAAATAAGATGTAACTTCACAATAGTGTGTTTTTGAACAGCTTCCTACTTAGTTTGTTATGCATTTTTCCACACAGTAAGAGCTTCTAGTACAAGTTTGTCAAGTTCATGTAAGTGACCCGGTTGACCCTAGCATGACTGTTAAATGTATTCAGTGTTTTTTTCCAGTGTTAAATTTTTATGTTCAATATGTTTCATGTATGTTTATGATCTTACCATTTGTTAGGTCAGTGTTTCATGTGGAAATTATTGCATGAATGAAATGCGTACTTATTACATGTATCCTTAGTGATATTATTGTGTATTCCCTTTCTAGTACCATAATTGTTGATCTATATTTTATCTCTTCCCTTGTTTTCCCAGAAAATACATTTCAAATAGAAGCCATTGCATATTACTATATTGTGAAATTATTGCAATGTTCCCATTTCCCAATCTTTTACATCAGTCATAGTTGATTTCCCATGGTTATTCAGAAACACTTGTTCATGTTACCATGCACCATAATTGTTGTTGATATTGTCCAAATTCTTATGTTTAATGAAATGATTAGTGTTGGGTATCGGACTCAAAAATCACTATCGATAATCGGACCACCACAATCGATTGTCTGCCGATAGTACCATCGAGTTCCGCACTTATAATGGCCCTTTTTTCTTTAGTATAATTTGCTCTTTGAATTCAAAACAAACAACACAAATACCTCAATATACTACTTTGTGACAGTCAATTTTTGTAATATACAACTTTATGGCAGTCAATATTAGTACTAGTCAACAGGTCAAAACATCAATGAGTAGTATTGAAGATCACTAATTTAACTACAGTAGATATATAAATTTATAATGTTATGATACTGCAAACTATAATTTTCTAAAGTAGTGTTAACCATGTAAAATAGGTTTTGAATACAAAAAATGCTTTAAAATTGTCTGGAATTAAAGAGATTCGGTCGGGAAACCTCTTTTTGACTGCATGTAAAAAAGTTACGCCATAGGCAATTCAGCGGTGGTAGAACATTAAACAATCGATTTTTAAAAAGGACTATCGATTATTGCCGATTATGGGGTGGTCCGATTAGTTATCGATTTTCAGAGACAATCGGGACAACACTAGAAATGATATTTAAATATTTAGTACTGCATAGAAAATGACCTTTTTGAATTTATTCTTTATAAATAAGCTTTCAGGCCAAATCACCTGTTAACACTTAATAGTCTTATTAGAATCTGGCATTGAATAGAGCTAAGCTATTGAAATTTTGTGTATTGATCTATGGACATGCTTGTGTCTGAAATTCTGAAATTATTCACATTTGTCTGAAGGGATTTTCCAGGACACATGAATGAAGCACTGATTTTTAATTCCTTAAGTTCAACATGTATGTTGCTAGCTATTTGTGTTTGATTTTTGTTGATAAGATAGGCATATTAATGTAAACAGTTATCTTTTAGAAAGATATTAAACTTTCAGGAGATTCACAATGTTTAGTTTTGTAACCAATAACAAAATCACTTTTACTTGTGTAATCTCTTTCTAATATAGGTTCGAGTCTTACATTGTGGCAATCATGTTTCTTCATATGTCACTAGTACTGACTGATTTCTACATTTTGATTGAACTAAAATAAATATGTTTAAACAAATTGAAGATTTAAGAACTTCATTTTATTTGTTAATTTGTATTTGAAAACTATTGATAAAACTAAGAATTAGAACATTTTAAATTTGTTTTTTGTAATGAACTTGGTCTTTATTCAAGTAGCTATAACATATATAAAATAACAGTGATTACATATTTATCTACACATTTATTTTTTCAACAATACTATGTAATGAATATGCTATTGTAAAATTACATGGTTTGTATTGCTTGTACCATATGGATACCATGTAACTTTTCTGTGTGTTGAAAATATGCTTTTGGTGCAGATTATGTCTTTAACAGTGTGTGGTTTTGCTTGTGATTTGTTAAGAGGGTTAATATTAATTCTTTCGTAATTTTTTTACACATGGCAATAAAGTGCATTAAGCTATTAAATTAAGTTTATGTAATATTGATACTAAATCCGAAAAAATAAGTTGTGAAAATGATTTAAAAGTTTGGGAAATCCAAGAGAAGTGAATTTATAAATTTATAGTTTTAATACAGAGTGAAGTCTAGAATAAACCTTAATTGAATCGATAAAAAGAAAGTGTGTTATTCAATTAAATTTGATGTTTCTAAATTGCAGCTTATGGCGGGATTATAGCAGCCGGGGAGATAACTCCCATACTACCTGTGCCTGGGGAGAAGCAACCTGACAATATCACAAAGTTCTTCTTTGATGCATTGCTACAGTTTATGGTGTCTGAGGTAATGTGAAAATTCCTGATTTTTTCACTATCAAATATATGACATTTAGTACATTACTCATGTTTTATTTGTAACAAAATGGCGGAATTCAGTTTTAAGACTAATTCCCATATGTTGACTGATGTTTATGTTTTATGCATGATCTCTGAAGAAAGAAAAAACCTCTCAGGTGCCCGTTCGTGCTTGAAATAATGCAATGGAATATCGCTATATGACCTATACTGTGTCGATGTGACGTAAAACCCAAAATAAACATTCAAACAAAAAGAAAAAACCTGAATCTCATAATTTCGCATCTTACAATACTTTACTCAATTTTCTTAATAAATCCAAATCGATTTTACTTATAAATCATTCTTTTATTATTTTTATATTTATAAATCTAGAATACACTTGTTTTCTGTTTTCAGGTGATCAAAATTGAATGGATGAACAAAGATATGAGAGAAATCTGTTTTGTCTTTCTTTTCAACAAGTTTAAGCACTCATATTTGAAATGGCTTCTACCAGATTTTGACAAGACAAGAACCATATATGATCCCGTACTTGGTAAGGCCTATTGTGAGAACTTAAGCAATATTAAAGCTTATATATTGATAGAAATTTTTGAAAATATGAATTAGCTTCTGTGATTTAGAAATGAAAAACAGTTGTGCATGTTAGAAAAATTTCATTTTTTATATGCCCGAAAGAATTTCGGGCATATTATGTTATACCCCCTGGCGTCCCTCTGTCCGCACTCACAGGACAGTAATTATGTGGCTAGAGGGACAATAGGTAACTGTTCTTTCTCTTTGATGTCATTCATTCCGTAATGCTTTTATGTGGCTATTTTCTTTTGTGTGGCTAAAAAGAACAATAGAGGCCACATAATTACTGTCCTGTGAGAACGTCCGTCCGTCCGTTAGCAACTTGGTTTCCGGAGCATAACTTAAGTTCCATTTGGCCCACAGTGTTCAAACTTCATAGGATGATTGTCCATATTGGGTAGAAGACCCCTATTGATTTTGGGGTCACAAGGTCAAGGTCACTATCACCTTAAAACTGAAAACAGTTTCCGGAGCATAACTAAAGTTCCATTTGGCCGACAGTGTTCAAACTTCATAGGATGATTGTCCATATTGGGTAGAAGACCCCTATTGATTTTGGGGTCACAAGGTCAAAGGTCAAGGTCATTATTACTTAAAAAATGAAAACAGGTTCTGGAGCGTAACTTAAGTTCCATGTGGCCCACAGTATTCAAACTCCACAGGATGATTGTCCATATTGGTTAGAAGACCCCTATTGATTTTGGGGTCACAATGTCAAAGGTCAAGGTCACTATTTCCTTAAAGCTGAAAACAGTTTCCGGAACGTAACTTAAGTTCCATTTGGCCCACAGTGTTCAAACTTCATAGGATGATTGTCCATATTGGGTAGGAGACCCTTATTGATTTTGGGGTCACACGGTCATAGGTCAAGGTCACTATTACTTTAAGACTGAAAACAGTTTCCAGAGCAGAACTTAAGGTCTATTTGTCCCACAATATTCAAACTTCATAGGATGATTGTCCATATTGGGAAGAACACCCCTATTGATTTTGGGGTCACACAGTCAAAGTTCAAGGTAGCTATTACCTCAAAACTAAAAACAGTTTCCAGAGCATAACTGAAGTTCCATTTGGCCCACAATATTCAAACTTTATAGGAGGATTGCTATTTGAAGGAGGTAATACTAGCGGTGCTCTTGTTTTAACAAGCTTTCTTCCTTGTTAAAAATGATGCTTTAATAGATAACTTTCAATAACTAATTTATTGATGTAGTAACACTTTTTAAACTAATGTAAAGCTTATTGGAAATGACAGTGAATTAATTTATATATTAGATATTTTAAATTCATTTTGATGCCAAAAATGACCTGTCTCAGTATTTTCTTTTGCACAATACATATATTATTATGTTTAATTTTGGTTAGTGCCTCCACTTCAGTGCATAAAAATACGCTCTTCGAGGAATGTCAATACAAACATCCCAAAAATAGTTAGATAATAATTAAAATGCTGTGTAGTAATATATATTTTCCAAATTTTACAAATTTTGTGAAATATTTCTTTACACAGATTTGCCATGTGTAAGGGTTCCTGCTGACACACTTTCTACAGATGAACCAGAAAATGTGTCTGAATGTAGAGACTCATTTATTCGCTGGTTGACAACTTTTACAATAACTTCGAACAAAAAACCTGAAGGAGAAGTGTTAAAGTATGTTGATTTTAAGCTTTTAAGTATAAAAACATATACATTTCAGTTATTGAACACCTGGTTTTATAACAATGGAATTAATATTTGAGTTTCTTTTTAGAAAAAATTGATAGGAAATTCAGATTTCTGAGAGTATCTGCATTTAAAGTTTTTTATTCCTCAAAAATAGTTTTTAATCATAGAAACATTTGACTTGTGTTCCTGTTTAAAATCTTCATTTGTGGATAAAACAATTTTTGACGATAAAATTTTTTATAGATTAAACAACTGGTATAGTGCAGTCATTTTTGTATGAATAGATATGTCTAGGGATAAGGTAACAGTTGTCTCATGTGATCATATCTTTGACAGAGGTATCTCCTGCTCAGCACTGGCAGAAGGTGATGAAGATGATGTTAAAACTAAGAAAGATGTTTCAGAGAGCAGAGAAGAGAACCAAGATCAAGCCCCTGGCAGTAACACTAGCACATTATCTGCCAGCTCTCAAATCTTTGAGAAAGACTCACCAAATTCAAGCTTCTGTAATGAAGAACATAGTACTTCTGAATACGAGATTGTGAGGTCTGTGATGTACTCGACTAGAGAAAACATAAATATTGTTCATGAGATATTCAGACAGGTACGTTAAGTGTATAGGTTGAGCTTTTTCTTAAAGCCCAGACAATCAGATTTTGAAGGGCATATTTGAGTCACTTTTTGGTGGGTTGCCCGGATGGTTGTGCAATTGGCTTGGCAGTCTGTTGCAGTTATATCTGCTCAAAGGAAAATTTGACATTTTAAATGTATTCATAATGTTAGTATAGAAATACATAAGTCACTTTAAGTGTAATGTCTGATCTAAGATGCTTTTCAAAATGTCAAGTGTCTATTATAGGATTTTAAAAAGAGAGAGGGGGGGGGGGGGTTAATAGAAAAGTGAGAATTTTTAACATTTGTTGATCCTTTTCCTTCTTTCTCTATGTAAAAGTTCCCCCTGCCTCTGAAAAAATAGAATTCTCAAAAAATAAATAAATGGAATTCTCAAAAATATGGGTGAATCCCCCCTCCTAGAATAGACACTGATGTCACTAACTTGTTTTCTTCAACAATTTGATCAGCTTTACTTTTAAAAAGATCAAGGATTGTCTTCTTTATTCTGTCAGCCAAAAGTTTAAATCAAAGTTAGTATAGATAAATTTGATCCAAAATCAACTAGTCTTAAATTTGATTATTTTATATATTTTCAGCCAAAAGTATAAGTCAAAGTTAATATAAGAAAAATTGTATCAATTAACTCTTCTTGAATTTGAATACAGTAAAATGCCACCTAACGACCACGCCACAAATAGGACCACGCCGTTATTACGGGCACTTTTTAAAAGTACAAAATATTTGCCTTCTTTATTCATTGAGAAAAATGACCAGTATACAGACCACGTCTCTAATCCGGCATAATGACCACTTCTGTCAGACATTTGTGTGTATTTCTTATCAAAATATTAACTTGTAGTACGACCATGCAACATAATGGCCAGGCATCACTTGGTGTTTATTGCCCCCAATTAATTGTCGTAATCTTCCCTCTGGCGTAAACAAATACACCGGGTCAAATGAGGTCATTAATATATATCGATTGATTAGACGCTTGCTTTACGATGTATCTTTAGCATTCAAGCGTCAACATGATCAGTTTAAACCACTTCTGGCTAATTAATCTAAGCAGCTATGGTGTGAGAAACGATTAATTTGCCAGCGTAATTAGGATGTAATAAACAAGTAAATAGCATTTAAAGTTGTTTGTTTGCATCACAATTTATAGCAAGTATGGTAAAAATTGATAATTACACCAAATTATCAGTTCATGTGTGCTTTATTTCGATATGTAATTAATGTATAAATCATAATGAGAGTTGTAACTATATTTAATACCTCATATTTTTCTTCTAAAGGGGAGACTTAACACACTAGCCGTAAATTAATATTTTTATTATATTAATGATGTATCATATTATCATGCATTAAAAATGTCTTTTGTTTAAAAAATATGTGTTTCTTTTTACTCATTTAATTAAGTACATTTACCATGTGCATTAAAATATACAAGGTATACATTAAGTTAAGTTGGACTTCGGTAGCTATTAAATTGACTTATTCACTATTAAGACCAACTCACTATTAAGACCACTTTGAGTCAGTCCCGTAAGTGGTCTTAATAGAGAGAATTTACTGTATTTGATATATTTTCAGGCACTTTTATTCTCATTCAAGCACGGAGGAGCTATACGACGTGTGATAGCAGTTTACAAAGACTGGTTTCAGGTAAATGAACGTCATGTGGTTGAAATGTTAATGGGGTTTAGTGGTTCAAATATTATTGGGTCCATGTGGTTGAAATTTTAGTTATATGTTAGGATTTTGTTTTGTTATTGTTATTAATGAAATTTGGTAAATTTGCATGAAAATATATATTGTCCAGTTTTATTTAGCAGGAACGATGGTTAGGAAACTACCCGCCTATATGACTGAAATACTGTTGGGAAAAGGCGTAAAATGAAACAAACAAACAAACAAACAAACCTAAAGCATGTTGTCAGATGCATTTCAAATATTTTGAGTACTAGAATATGCTTTAGTTATAGAATAATTGTTATATTGTATAAGTTACCTTGTTTTGAGTGACAATAATCTTGAATTAGAAACAGACACTATCCAAATGACCAGTACAGACCAAGATCAGATGTCACATCTGTTTCATCATATTATGTCCTTCACTGCTATTCAGTCAGTACATATTTCAAAATTTTCCCTAAAACTGATATATGGTTTTGTCCATATTGACAGATGGACAAGTTCATTTTAGAAATTGGCCACTAATTTTAGCAATGTAAGGATTCAATAGAACTGGGCAATATAAGCATGTGATTGTGTTCATCGTGTCAGAATAGTATATTCAGGGTTTTCTGCTTTCTACTGAGTTATAAGACTTGTAATCAAAATAATAATGAAGTTATTTAAGATTAAATGCAAGGTTGATGGTTGGGATTTGGTTTTAAAGGCACAACAGTGAAATAGTTTGCATGATAGACATTGTTTTCAGGTATAAATAAGATATTATGTTAAGCCTTCAGGTTGATTATTTAGCAAAAAATGTTAATTACCCTGTAAGATGCCTTTGGTTGAGTGATGGATCGAGCATCTTGTATAATTTCCATTTATTGTATAGATGTTTTGGGAGTGAAGTGTTTGGGAGGGGTGGTTGCTGCCATGTTTTACCAAAGTAATTTTATTGAAGAAACCATTTTGCATTTTGAAAGCCTCATTTTAGTTTAGATATTATGCATGCTTTTAGAGACTGAGCATGTATTTTGAAATAGGACTTAAAAGGCATTGAGTGTGTTTTACTGGATAGTTATTGTTGAAAGTTAAACTAATGTGCAGATAGGGGTTTATGAGGTATAAAGAATGTTTGGGTTTTTAACAGAATTTTCCGTAGTTTATTTCAACTTGTTTAGAGGTGTTTTGATCTGATGGAAAGGTATTTAATCAATTTGGACTAGCATTTTGGACTTTCTTTTTCTTATCTGCCTGAATTCATAAAAGCATATTAAAGGTTATGGTTTTGTTGAAATAAGTTAGTCCAGAAGAAAGAAAAAGATTTTTATTTGTATAAACTTATTTTGTTTTGCTTCTTTAACTTTCGAATTCAAAACTTGTTATTCTTGTTTGAAATTGATCAAGATTTTGATTTTTTATCATTTGAACATCTTTGTGCATATTTGAATACTATATGTATTTTAGCAAATTTTTTATAATACTTTTTTCATAATACTTTAAATTGTAATAAGTATGAATATTTTTTTTCTATTTGTATAATCCAACTTTTCTGTTTGTGTTTCCCTAAAATTAATATGCTTCTATTTAAGAAATTATAAAACTACCTTAAAGTATTAAATTGCTTACTTTATTTTTGGTGGCTGAACTTTGTCTTATGAATAGCAATTATGAATTTAGTTTCAAATTAAGTAGAGCTTCATAGACAAATTATCAAGTTACTCTTTTAGTTTTTGGGAAACACAGCTATGTGAATAGTAAACAATGTTAACAGGTGTGTTGAGTCATTATAAAGTATTATTATTTAAATGCAGTGGTGTAAAACATGAAAGTGTTGATCCAGTGGTTTAGGTTTATGGCATGTAATTCCTTAAAACATGGATCATGAACGTGAAGCCTAGCTGGGTCATGTTTCCTAGAAGAGGTTCAATAAATTTGACCTCGTAATATCTTGTCACTTTAATGCAGTACAGGTTAACTCCTTACATATTTTAATATGTGTTAACCCAATACTGCACTAAGGTGATGATATATTCCAACTGAAACTTGCAATCGTGAACTGTGCTTAATGATGACTAATCATAAACATCTTTCCTATGCATTGGTCTAATTAGACTGTTAACTTTATATTTCATGTTGTGAAGAAAAGGAAAGAATCAAAACAACACCTGTTAATTTTGTTGCAAAGCATGTATTCGTCCATGTATTTATATATATATATTCTAGTAATTTTTTTATAGTAAGCCATTTTATTTGCATGTATAGAATGATAGCGATAACAAGCCTGTGTTCATGATGGAACCCAGTGACTCGGGTCTTCCCCTCGGGCTGCTGCCTGATTTATCACATAGCCTCTCTGATATCCTAGAGGAAGATGGTTCAACTGATTCTATGGTATGTGTAGTGTTTACAGGCTAAATACTGACTAAAGAATCCTTTTTTTGTATCTTAATGAATATTATTTCATTGATGATAATGATGATATAAGTGATATCATTAATCGTTGAACACGGTTGATCAATTTTTCCATTCTACATAGCACGAAAGACAACATATTTATCAATTTCTAGGTGACGTTTAGATACATAATTATTCACCCAGTGGACATATGGATGTTTTGGTTGCTGTTTATTTGGGAGATGTATCCAAGTGCTTAAATTATAAGCTGTATAATTCTATGTTTAATTTTAGTTTACTGTTTGCTGTTAGTACCCATTTGAGTTTAACCTAAAATTTTTGAATTATAAATTGAAATTTGCATACCAGTATGATTATTCAGTATTTCTTGGTGGTGCATATTTTGAGAAATAATTTGTATGAGAAAAAAGATCATTTGTAAAATGATTTTACAGTTAATAATAATTTTTTTGCATGATACATTGTGCATTTTCTTTTTACTTTTCTTATATAAATAATTCTTTATATTTGAGCATTTATTCGAGGCATGATAATAACTATATTTTGAACTTAATGAAAGCTTTATATGCTATATCTTTACAGTTTTTCCACTTTTCAGCTCAGCAAAGCATGCCTAAGTAAAGTTTTGTCTTTGTCTGCCATCGGACCTCCCTCCACTAATGATATGAAACAATTCTGGAATGATCCTTAGATGGTCCTTTACAAATTAAGCTAAAATTGTTCTTGCCTGCACCCAAGCTAAAAATAGAAATAAGCTTTAATTAATTGTCATCACCTTTACTAACAACATTTAGATGAAACTGGACAATATTATTCACTGGGTGCTACAGTACTGTACAGAAAAATTGCTTCAGTTTGTTGAACAATTATATCTCTCTGAAGTGGTTGTACTCGGGTGAGCTTCCTAGGGCCATTATAATCCTCTTGTTGTTCCTAGTTTAAAAGGGAAAATTTTAAATTATGTTTTAAACATACAGAGATATGACTTCTAAAATAAAATTGTTGGATTTGTAGGAATCTGCGCCAAATTCAATTCCTCTGCAAATGTCTCGTGATTCTGGGGACTTGAAGACTTGGTTACGAAATGCTTCATACCTTGGTGCTATTCAGGACTTGGCTGATGGTGGGGACTTGACCCAGTATGACATACGAGCCGGTCAACAGAAACTGATCCAGATATGTGTAACAAATGCTGCCAATATTTTCCTGCTTCAAGCTGACAGTGATAGTGCATTACAAGAGCAGGTACAATATTTATAATATCATACAATATTGATATTATCATAAAATTTACCCCATTTCACCAGTTTTATATTGAAATATACATGTATGATTAAGATCCCAAACAGATACATGGATTATATATTTCAGATATTTACCATGAGACTTAAGATTGGTCAGTTGCTACCTGTCAATTCCAATTGGCTAGTCATTGGCTTTAAATTTAAGCTAGGTTGATTTAGTTTCCCTGACACAGTCACTTGACTATGCAAAACTTATGACAGGAGCTAAATTTTTAATCTCTTCATAGCTCTAAAATTATTGTAGTAGAATTATGTACATATATTTATTATTCTTTATTGTTTCATAAATTTAGAAGAATCTCAATTTGGAAGAATATGAAAATATGACATCTATATTTTATAGAATGTTGTTCGGAGTAAGTAACAATGGTCTTGTATTTTCAGGTTGATTTATGCAAGAGAGTGCTGAATATATATCGACAGATGGTCATGAAAATAAACATGGATCAGAAGACATGGTATGGAAAAACTGTCTTTTCATTTGATGCAAATCTAATATTATCTTCTTTGAAAACACAAAAAGATAACAAAAAAAAAATTAGATGAAAATAACAGAAAGAAGCAATGATATTTTTGAATATCATATGTTATGCATATAGAATAGATATAAGATGTATCTTTATGTCTTTTTATGCCCCAGCCATGTAATGGCCGGGGCATATAGTGTTACCCTGTTCCGTCATTCCGTCCTTCCGTCCTTCCATCCTTCCGTCCTTCCATCCTTCCGTCATTCTGTCATTCCGTCATCATCAGTTTCCGTTCATTATCTTAAGAACAGTTGCACACATTCAACTCAAATTTGACATATATATATGTCATGAGAAAATACAGGTCAAGTTCGAATTTGGTCATGGTTTAGTGATTTTTGGCAGAGTTATGCCCCTTTTACTTTGAAAATAATATGAAATTTCAGTTTCCGTTCATTATCTCCCCAATGGTACAACACATTCAACTCAAACTTGACATATGGATATGTCATGAGAAAATACAGGTCAAGTTCGAATTTAGTCATGGTTCGATGATTTTTGGCAGAGTTATGCCCCTTTTACTTTGAAAATAATATGAAAATTTAGTTTCCGTTCATTATCTCCCCAACGGTACAACACATTCAACTCAAACTTGACATATGGATGTGTCATGAGAAAATACAGGTCAAGTTCGAATTTGGTCATGGTTCGATGATTTTTGGCAGAGTTATGCCCCTTTTACTTTAAAAATAATATGAAATTTTTCAGTTTCCGTTCATTATCTCCCCAACGGTACAACACATTCAAATCAAACTTGACATATGGATATGTCATGAGAAAATACAGGTCAAGTTCAAATTTGGTCATGGTTTGATGATTTTTAGCAGAGTTATGCCCCTTTTACTTTGAAAATAATATGAAATTTTCAGTTTCCGTTCATTATCTCCCCAAAGGTACAACACATTCAACTCAAACTTGACATATGGATATGTCATGAAAAAAATAAAGGTCAAGTTTGAATTTGGTCATGGTTCGATGATTTTTGGCAGAGTTAAGCCCCTTATTACTTTGAAAACAATATGAAATTTTCAGTTTCCGTTCATTATCTCCCCCAAGGTACAACACATTCAACTCAAACTTGACATATGGATGCGTCAAAGGAATATGCAGGTCAAGTTTAAATTTGGTCATGGTTCAATGATTTTTGGCAGAGTTATGCCCCTTTCACTTTGAAAGTAATATGAAATTTTCAGTTTCCGTTTATTATCTCCCCAATGGTACAACACATTCAACTCAAATTTGACAGATGGATATGTTTTTGGAATGCCCAGGCCAAGTTAGAATTTGGTCATGGTTCAATGATTTTTGGCAGAGTAATGCCCCTTTCACTTTGAAAATAATATGAAATTTACAGTTTCTGTTCATTATCTACCCAACAGTGTTACATATTCAACTCAAATTTGACATATGGATATGTCAAAGGAATAGTCGGGTCAAGTTGGAATTTGGTCATGGTTTGATGATTTTTTGGCAGAGTTATGTCCCTTTCACTTTGAAAGTAATATAGATACATCTTAGGAATAAGCAGTTTAAGTTTGACTTTGGTCACTGTTCAATGATTTTAGACAAACTTATCTTTCCTGAGTGTTGGAAAAATTTTGAACTTTCAGTTTCAGCACTCATACTTTTAACCATTATTTTGGCTACAAATATGCAATATGCTATTTTTAAAAGGTTAAGACTGAATAATTTCAGTGCCTTGAACATTGTTTGAAAATGGTTTGTGTTAACATTGAAAAGTTTTAAGAGCTTTGAACTTAAAATGAAAGAAAAATTAATGCAACATCTGAAATTTTGGCTGCATGCGGGGGCATCCGTGGCATGATGACACATTTCTAGTTAGGATGACAGTTTGTATCTCTTGCATCTTGTCATCTTTTTGGCATCTGTCCTCATTTTTGTATTTCAGACTTCATATATATATATATATAACCCCAATTCAATATGCAATAGAACTTCAATAGTAATATCTCTGCTATATCTACTTAATGCATATTAGTATTTTGTTTGTACTGATAGTATTTTGGAAAAACTCAAAAAAATGTAGCATTACCCAAATTAGAACACATAAAAGTGATACAGTTTACTAGACCTACTTAATGATATTGGTTACTACATTTACAGGGAGCAGATGTTGAGAGTGCTGTTGTGTATAACATTAGGCGTACAAAGTCAGTATCCACCAGAAAGTAACAGAGGTCTTGGAAGAAAACTTGCACAGCCAATCTTTCAGGTAGATCTTTAATGAATATTTGTTATTTTACCCCCGACAAACGAAGTTTTAGGGGATATACTGGAGTCAGCTGGTGGTGGGTTGGTCGGTTTGTCTGTTGCAGATTTTTGTAGAAATAGTCTTTAAAGATCCTGTATGTTTTGTGATTGTTACTTTGTGTATACAACACTTGCAAAAATTATTTATGTATATAATTATGCGAGTAAAACAATTTTCAAACATCGAAGAATATGTAAAATGTGTACTGTAAATATTTGTGCACATTACATTTAATCATTAAATTATATGCATTCATTTCTTATTGGAAAATTTGACTTAGAATTTATAGAAAATAAATTTCTAATAACCTCCCTTTATTTACATGAAATGTTAAATTCGGTAATATCTTTATAAATAATGCCTATTGGAACTTACAATATTGACAAATCTTAATTTGAGCATCATATTTATGAAATAAAACCATGAAAAAAATGTGTTACAGGATCTTTAAGAATATCGTCAATTTTCAAATAATTTTTTTTTTAGCATATGAAATTAAGCAATCTCACTTTATTGATATTTATTTATATCATGTATTAAGTCTTATTATTCTTTACTTTTTAATAAAAATAGCATGTTTCACACTATCATCCTTATTTTCATTGAATGTAAATTTAGACTTTGTTATAAGACAATTGATATAAATTTGATCTCCCTGATAAAATCCGGTATATCTTGGGTAAAATTGAAATATATATCCAGAATATTTATCATTATTTGTTTAGACTTGAATTTTGTAATTTCTTTGCTAAATAACATTGTGTTTTTTTTTTAATTTTTAGTTTAAGATTTTTTTATGCTTAATAACATGTTGAAGGAGGTCAGTTTTTTATGACCCATTGTTCTGCCATCACAAAAGAACTTTATTATATAAATGGTGAATCCGAGACAGTGAAAATAAAGATTGTTTCACAGTGCGATATTTCACCTATATTAAGTTGATTTTGCCTTAGTTTCACTTGGAGACAAGCTGATACTGGCCGAGGGGTCATACATAATAAGTATAAATTGATGGTACTTTGTGTAGCAATATGAATAGAACTGTAAAATACAATTATTGTGAGGTAGATTGAACCCTGCCCTTTATTATTTTTTTTTCCATTTTGTTTTTATTTCCAAAATCTTTTTGAGTTGTCTGTTATGTATGGATAGAACAGGGTTTCTTCACATCATTGTGAACTTGATGTATCATCAAATTTGTGTCAATGAAGATATTTGCTAAAACTATAATGTATAAAACTTTCACTGTAAAATATGCTAAGGGTGTCAGATCAAAAGGTGATGCAAACATCAAACAATACAATTACATTCAGAAAGTTAATAGTAGTTCGTTAATTACTTGTTCTTACTCTAGCTAAATACAAGTAGGACTGTTCGTATAAGATGAGAACAGTCTTTATTGTGTTAGTTTATTGTGTTAGTTTGCAAACACATTATATGATACAGTAATCTTACAAAAATTCACAAGAACACATTTTATAAGAAAAAGGTTTGATTTCCTAGAACCAAGTTAACTTGACAGGAATGTTTAAGTATAACAATTTTATTTGCAGACTTTAATAGTTACCTGGATAAAAGCTAACCTGAATGTGTACATCAACATTGAGCTGTGGGATCAGTTTCTGAAGGTGTTATCCTCACTGACATCATGGGCAGAGCTTATCAAGGAATGGGCTGTAAGTACACTTGTCAAAATACAGAATTTTGATAAGTACTTTTATAATAGAGCCTAAAGTTTTTGGATGACTATTACGTTTAAGTTCTAAGAGTGCAAATATCACAGACTGCTAATGATTTTTTACGTATTTAGTGCAGAGATTCTATTTTCCAATCTGATAAATTGAATTCTTCCGGACATGTTGAAAGATTTGCTGTTACTTGTCAAATTATCATATATGTTTTTTGTTTGTTTGAGGAGTTGTGAGTTTTGTTTGATGAGTTGTCAGTACACAGGCTCACATAACATGACTGATTTACATTTTTTTGTATGGTAGAAAACAATGGAGACATTGACAAGAGTGTTGGCAAAGCAAGTATACAACCTCGATCTTCTGGATCTGCCACTTGAAAGACTAAGTGAACAAAAGGAGAAAAGAAGAAGGGGTAAAAGTCAAGGTAATTGTTATATATGATTATCAAGTTGTAATTTTCTGTTTTCAATTATAAAAATTGGCCGGCAAAAACTGTAATCGATAAAATAGAAAAATGAATTCTTTACTAGTAAATTCAATGGTATTCAATTCACATATTCTGTAGTAATTGATATATTTGTTAAAAATTATGATGATTTTTACTGATTTTTTGTGGGGGGGTGGGGTAGGTATCGGCATTCCTTGGTTGGTTGAAATAACAAATCTGATAAAAAATTTCAATATTATTGTTTTGTTCGCAAAAAGAAGTGAGGTAGAAATTAAATTGAAAGGAAGTAATACCACTCCAACAATGTTGCTTGTCATGGCATAAAGTTTTCTTGATATATAGGTTCGGTGTTGCATTGTACAGTTTTGTTGGTAAGAGTGTTGCTTATGTTTTAATGGATATTTGTACATTATATTTACTGTCTTTATAAATTGGCTTTAATTGGGTCTTGCAATCTAAATAGGTGTACTATTCATATTGATTGAGCATTAAATTTGTTATTATTTAGATGCTCCGAAGACAAAGTTAGATGACCACAGTTTTTCTCGCGCATGGAGTAAGAGTGAGAGTGTGGAACGTCCAGCCAGTGGTAGTATGTCACACTCATTGGCTTTTGAACGATCACAAGGCAAATACAAAAGTGATGGTAAGTTCCTGTAACTTCATTTCATATGTTTTGAATAGTCAAGTCATTGAAATAATTTTTAATGAGAGCAATTTGATGGTGGCGTGTTTGCTATCCTAATATTTAGTTTATAAAGTGTTATTGAAATATTCTTCCTTTTCAAAATAAAGTCTAGGCATTTTCACCCTATCGTCTGGAGCCAAAATAAGATCCCATTCCTAAGTCTCTTTTTCCCAATGTAAAAAAAAAAAAAATACTAAAAAAGTCATGTATAAGATAGATAGTCATTTTCTCAAATATCCTAAAATGTTGAATGATTATTCACAATTTATGCTTTGGCCTTTCACCCAAAATAGCTGGACGAGGCCTAAAGAGTAGAGGATTACTGAACTTGGTATTGCCTTTATGGTAAATGAATCATTAGAATGTTTGAGAATTTACAAAGTATAACAAAACACATGTATTGTAATAAATTGTTTCTAAAAACATGTCTGTCAATATTAAATGTCCTCTATGATTATTTTGGGACCATGAAAGTATTCAGAAGAAGAGTATTTAAGTTTTAGCCTAATTTAATTACTACATTTGAAATTAGTGTAGAACATTTGTGGATAGTTATATGGAAAAAAAAAAGTTAATATAATTTTGAACTTAAGACTTCATCATGTTAATATTATGATATTGAAGGTGCTGGTGGAAGTAAGTCAAGACCAGATTTAGGCAAACAGAAGTCCTTGAGTGGCACACCATCACCATGTCACTCAAGATCTGCCTCGGCTTCTTCAGATCTGGCTATGCTTGTACGAAGTAGCAGTGAAGGAAATCTGGCTGACCCAGCAGAACTTGCAGAGAGGCTGAAACAAGGTGAGTAACTCCAGTCTGCAGTGATTTTTGTTTGACAATAGGTTATCCTCCCTTGTTTGAATGGAATTTTTTTTTATGTTTTGTGAAACATGCATTTTATTGTCTAGAGGTAAAATCTCTAATTAACACATACTATCTGACAGATGGTTTTGAAAATGAAAATTTATAGGTAAATGAAATATGGTTTTAAATATGTTATAAAAAAGGGAAAATTCTTAAAGTGGCATTAATGGGGATATGTTTGCTACTGGGTGGATTAGTGTGCTATGTAAATGTGATATTTATACAAGTCAAGTGTAATTATCATTTAGATCTTGATAATTCTGTTGTTGACATTCATAACTTAAGTGACAAAATTGTGTTGGTATATAGTGTACAGACTCTTTTACATTGTTTGAAATATTGAAGGTTTTTAAGTAGCAAATATGTTAAGATAAACTTCCTTCCTTAACTTATTAAGTTGTTGCATATAGGATATAATCAGAAATAAAGATTGTAATAAATTAGAACTTAAAAGGATGTAAAATAATTAGAATAACTTACATATGTTTTGATAGGAAGAATAAATATATCAGTATTTTTATTTGTCAATACTATATAAAATGTGATTTTAGGATTAAATATATGACAAGATGGAGAATATTTATTTACCTTTTATATGTGAAACTGCAGTTGTAATGATATACGTAGTATGAAAGTAACATAGTTTGACACAGCACATGTTTTGTTTTGTTGAAATGTTAATCTTGAAATAATAGTAACTGAAGTAACATGATACATGATATTAGATAACATGAAATGTTAATGTTATTAATGGTTATGCTGTTAGTGGTGAAATGAAAATGTATATTCATGAATAGAGTATGTATGATATTATGTGAGATGCAACCGATATATATGTGTATATTTATGCCACTGTTCAGGAATTATGTCTCGGAGCCTTGTGTCGCCTGGAAATAAGTCAAACTCATCTAGAAGTTTGGCAACAGTGATTTTATCAGCAGTACGACCTGATACTAACAGCAAGATTGTTGGTATGTAGTAAAGTAAAACACTGCCTGTTAATACAAATGCTTATTTTTGTCTAATTAGTTTTTGAATGTCAGCATTTGCTTACTTGTAGGATATTAGGAAACTTGTTTTTTTTTAGCAGAATATATTGATATAGTTTGGCAACATTTTAGCTTCATTTCACTTTCTTTTTCATGCAGATTATGTATATTTCTTTTTCAACTGTTTGATTTAAGAGATGTTTATGAGATTAGCTGTAATTATACTGTATTGTTGCTTCATAGTTAAGTGGATGTTGTATTTGCACATCAGCTAAAAAAATTTAAGTTTGCCATATTGATTTAATAAACTTTGTATAAAACTATTAAATAGTTAAATTTTAAAGAACAGTTTAAATTGGTTATAAAATAAAAATGAACTTGACTTGAGACAGTTCAAAGTTGAATACTTGTAAAGTAAAATCAGATACCCTTATGGGGGGGGGGGGGTGTTGTGAAAAATCTTATCTTAATTTTACATAATTATAGAAAACTTGTATTTGCAAGTTAGCCTCCATAATGACCTAGTTTTTAATCATGTTTAATGGTGTGATTTATTTGTTTTTGTTTTTTAAATTGTCATCTCAAGCTCTTAGTTTAATATCCCTTGCACTGCTCTGTCATATCGCTTTAAGCTATTACTTGAACAATTTTATGCAAGGCACAGTTTTATGTAAGGTATTGAACATTGACCTTTTAGTAACTAGATGACCTTCTTCTTAAACTTAAGTTTAATCACAGAAACACATGTGTATTAAACAAAATTTGACCTTTATGACCTTTAATTTGACACAGTGACCTGCTACTATATTTTAGATTTTATATCTTGCTTTAGCAATGGTTTTCAGGTAACTAATTGATTGATATAGAGCCATCATGACCCTCTTGTTTATGTAGTGAGGTAAATAATGAACAAATTATAGAAGTTAAATAAAGCAGATAATTCAGAGTTAATTATCTTTTTAATGTCTGGAAGCTACACATTTTTGTTTGCTTAGATGTAACAGCTCATACTCAAGCACTAGCACATGTATCTTATAGATGTGTTTTGACTTAGCAAAAAAATTTCTGGAAATAATATTACTCAATTGTGTGAATGTGCTGCAAGGAGCGAAATATATGCAATGTTTCTTTATCTATTATTAATATCACTGTGCAATGATTGCTGTAAATATGAGAAATAATTGAGAAAAAAATTGTGCTACATTTGTTAAATAAGTTTTAAATTGGTGTGTCATGTATCCCTGCTTATCTGCACCACACTTTTTTAAAAGACGATGTATATAAGTACATGTATGTATGCATGATGATATAACCTAGTGTAGCCTTACGTAGGATTCATACATTTGATTTATTTTTCTCTCTAATTCAGGATTTAGTTGCTTCAGACTATGCTGGTCTGTCATGAGAAGGAGAGGTGGTTTATATATAATCTATTATATGATTTGATTCTTTTTAATCATCATTATTATCATTATTCAATTTTATACTCTTTCAAGTAAAGTTTATGCTAGTAGTTTTTTTTATATAAACGTTAGCTGAAGTATTTGGTTGCGGTACAATGTTTTGCATAATTATGCATGCTCGTATTTTTAAAAAAAAAATTCTTGATAAGGCATGTGTTTAGAAACAACATGTTGCAACTTTTCAGTTTGTTGAATTAGTGGATAATTTTATGAAAATTTGACAATTGATTCAATGGATGCCTGTGTCAGTCAATTACTTATTAATAATCATGATGTGAATCAAGTAGTAAAATAGTTTCTTTAGTTAAATTATGATTGTTTACGCACATGAACATAAGAATAATAATGCTCATTTATGTTCCTTTTACTAAAAAAAAAAAGAGGTGGTGTTTTTCATGTTACTTGTTTAAGATTTTCTCTCTGGGTTATGGTTTAATTCAAAGTTCAATACACATTAAAATGTGTTAACAGGATTTGCTTGGGTTTTTCCAAAGTTTGGCTGGGTTTAAAAATTAAAGTAACAGATTTGAATCAAGCCAAAGGAATGAAAGTTTTAATATTTTTATATTTCTTTGGAAGCAAAATATTTAGACTATTCAGTGGCTTATTTTCACCTGCCATAAAATGTGACAATTCCATTTGTATACACACAATCCAGTGACCTCATTTCCATATCATTTAGATGTCAAGATAGTGTTAAAGTGGCTCCCCCCTCCTTCATGTATATGAAGAATTTTATTATGCAAATATTATTACATCTTATAGGTCAGTAATAATGTTAATTGGTAATTTCTGTATAAATATTTTAAGAAACAAAAATGAGTGTGAATTTGTATGCATGGCATGCAGCAGTTATTTTTTCATACAATGTTTTTATATACATTTATAGATTATTATTGTTACTATGTAGGTAATAAAGCGTAATAATGTATACAGTATCTAAATGCAACACTGGATTCAACATGTTATTCTGTATATCATTTAATAAATGCCCCTTACCTAGTAACCAAGATGTTAGTAGTTTATTAGTTTATCATAAATCCAAAGAAATAAGCACAAATTTTTATCACAGCTTCCAGTATATATATAATCAAGCAGAAACTAACACAAAAACAAATAAAGGAACTTGACTGAGTTCCAAAAGTCCAAAAACATAAATTTTGAATTTCTTACATAGATCAACTGAGGCATTTTAAACGGAAAGATTTGCAAAATATAATTAGGAAAGATACTCAGAAATAAATTTATTAAAATTATATTTTTTTGCTATTTCTTAACCGAATTTGAGTGAAAAACATTGCAACACTTATCAGTTTTTGGGTCACTTTTCAAAATTAAAATATTTAATCTGATTGATAATGATCTGAAATTTTGGTAACAAGTTATTAGTCTAGACCTGCATCAAATGAAACTGTAACATTAATCTTGAAAAATTATTTCCAGTCCTGTCATGTCAAAAAACCTCAGTGGAGCCCATTTAACATTCATTTTATTTTAATGATATTGAAATTGTTTTTGGTGTTTGAATTTAGATATTTGCAAAATGTTTTAAATATATGATATTTGCTGTTTTTGGAAATGCCTTTATTTTTAAACAAGATATTGGACCTTTAAGTGGCTGTTAATAAGATTTTCAAAAGTAATGAATTTTGAAGTTCCATTATATGCTTATATATATATTATTTTTTTTTTCAAATATTTTGTTGCTGTCTGTTTTTTGACATGATATGGAAGAGGCATAACAATGACCATAGAGATTCAATAATCATGTTTACTACCTGTTGTTTAAGTTAATAATATAAATGAATGTGAAATTATCCACTTTAATTTATTTGACTGATAAATGGAATAGCTTAAAAGGGTTGATTTTAGTCTGAAATTATATAAGGACCAAATTTATTACTTGTATTCCTGCTTTTGAATACAGATAATATACAAATTTGCAGTTTTTTAAATCTTTCCCAAAATAGTAAAGCTGTTTTTATGTAATTGCTTTTATAGTAATAAACAACAGTGCTAAATTATTGCCCCTATGTTCAGCTTCTACATTGTATTTATTTCCAACAAAAGTTCACAATTACTGAGTGAATTACAGCAGTTGTACTGTCTGCTCCATCAGTTACACATAATTGGTAGCATTTACCTTTTTGTGCCATATTTCTTGTTCTCATTTAAAGACAGCATTGCTGAAAATACGAAAACAGAACAGAATGTTAATAAACAAATCATTGTAATTAAACACTCATTAAATATGGTTATATTTGTATAGCTTTTGAGTGCTAAAATGAAACTGTTACAACAAATATTGATCATGATGTATATGTAAAAACCTCATTTTTCTTTTAAAAAAAATTTCTGTAAGAGTAATTAGCATGTGAAACATCTTAAAAGATCGCAAAAACATTTTGTAGTGTTTTTGCAATGGTTTTATTTTCAAACTAATGATATAATTGTTTTTCTTTGTTGGAATTGTTCAAGGGGGAAG